AGCTTAGAATTTCAACCACAGAAGAACAGACTGTTCAAAACCCTACTGAAATGTTAGACATCTGTATAGTTTCTGTTCTCTTGGTTATCGCCCCATTGATTTTAGATTCCACAAAAGTTTACAAAGCATTTGGTAATTTGAAAAAATAAAAACTTTGGTGATTGCAGCAATTGCCAAAAGTAGTTATAAGAAAGAAGAGTAAAATGATTTTTCTAAAATTCTGAAAAGGGAAAACAAATGAAAAATAATATTTTGCCAGCTACTTGCATTGATAAGGTTCACATATTAGGAAACCTCATGCTCAGTTTCAGATGATTAACACTGAAATAAAAAATAATAAGTGTTTGATTATAGGTGCTACTGGTGTGAAACAATACAGTTGGTCTGATCATTTTTGGGAAAATTCTTATAACCCTTTAGAGGCCATTTCTTCTCATAGTGTGTATGTATATATATATATGTGTATGTATACACACATATACATATATATATATATATATATATATATATATATATATATATATACACATAGTGAGGAAAATAATTATTTGATCCCCTGAAGATTTTGAAAGTTTGCCCACTTAGAAATGAAGGCTCTATAATTTTTATAATATGTGTATTTTAAATGATAGAGACAGAGTATCAACCAAAAATACAGAAAAAAACACATAATACAAATGTTATAAATTGAGTTGCAGCTTAAGGGAGTAAAATAAGTATTTGATCCTCTATCAACCAACAATAATTCTGGCTCCCACAGACTGGCTATATGGCCATGTGGTACACAGATTAGTCCTGTCAATTTAAGAAGGTGCTCCTAACGACAACTCGTGCATAAAAGATACCTGTCCACAGAATCTCTTTCTTAGGCACCACCATGGACAAGACCAAAGAGCTGTCAAAGGATGTCAGAGACAAGATTGTAGACCTGCACAAGGCTGGAATGGTCTAAAAGACCATCAGCAAGAAACTTGGTGAGAAGGAGACAACAGTTAAAGCGATTATTCGCAAATGGAAGAAATACAAACTAACCATCAATCGCCCTCGGTCTGGAGCTCCATGCAAGATTTCACCTCATGGGGTAAGGATGATCATGAGAAAAGTGAGGGATCAGCCCAGAAATACACAGGAGGAGCTTGTGAATGATCTCAAAGCAGTTGGGACCATAGCCACCAAACAAATTATTGGTAACACAATATGCTGCCATGGATTGAAATCCTGAAGCTCCCGCAAGGTCCCCCTCCTCAAGAAGGCACTTGTACAGGCCTGTCTGATGTTTGACAATGAACATCTAACATCTAAATGATTTGGAGAAGGATGGGAAGAAACTGCCGTGGTCAGATTTGTCCAAAATTTAGCTCTTTGGTATTAGCTCAACTCCCTGTGTTTGGAGGAAGAAAATGCTGACTATGGCCCTAAGAGCATGATCCATTTATAACATTTTTATCATGTGTTTTTTCTGGATTTTTGGTTGACATTCTGTCTCTATCATTTAAAATACACCTATGATAACAATTATAGACCCTTCATTCCTTTGTAAGTGGGCAAACTTACAAAACCTGCAGGGGATAAAATAATTATTTTCCCCACTGTATAGAGTGACACCTGCTCTGTGCAACAATGTTGCATAGAAACGTTGCTTTTGTCCTCTTTTATCAATCCCTGCCTTCTAGCTCCTCCTCTCCTTTGGGTGCCTTCTGTACAAGTCCAATTGCTAAGAAGGTGTGCGCATGCTCTCATTGGGTCCTGCTTCAAGCTGTGTGTGTCCATAGACACAGTGCTGGAAAAACCACACCCAGGGGCGGACTGACCATTTGGGCACTCGGGCACTGCCCGAGGGCCTGGGGTCAGTAGGGGGCCCCATGAGATGTCCCTGGTACCTTTAATTGGCTTTTTCATAGGCTTTTTTTGGCTGTGGGTGAGGACACAGGGGCCCCATGATCCCCTATTGCCCGGGGGCCCCATGAGTTGCCAGTCCGCCCCTGACCACACCCCTACTCCCTCCATACCAGGTGAAATTACAGAAAAAAAAAAATTAAAAGAAAAGAAAATGAATGGAGCCATCACATCTAAGGACAGCTAACCATCAATATAAATATATAAAACGTTTTTGTTTTTTAGGTTTATAAAATGTAGACTTTGGTAGAGGAGGTTATTGCATGGATGAGAATTTCCTGTGTGTCTTTAACCAGAATAAATAATATATATATATATATATATATAGTGAGGGATTAGCCCAGTAGCGGGTTGTGCTTGACCCCCTGGATGAGTCAGAGCGCGGTGAAAGAGGCTCCGCATGACAGCAGGATCTTGGTGAATAAAATTGTGCTTTATTTACAAGGCTGGTGAATACAAGGTGCATATATTCAAAAACAGCAAAACAAATAAAAACAGAAAATAAAGCCTTGCCACACTGGGCTACTAACTACAAACACAGGTTCCTATCTACTTGTCTGGATATAACCTGTCGCTGCTCAGACACAGAGGGGTTTATTTACTAAAGCTGGAGAGTCCAAAATCAGACTCCCTTCTGCATAGAAGCCAATCAGCTTCTAACTTCAGCTTGTTCAATGAAGCTTTGGCAATGAAACCTGGAAGCTGATTGGTTTCTATGCAGAAGGGAGTCTGATTTTGGACTCTCCAGCTTTAGTAAATAAACCCCAGAGTGTTCACACAGTCCAAAATCACACAGATTTACTCTCACCGCAGTACAGTTTGGTTGCTCCCCAGTCTGTCCTGCACAGCAAACTGGTTCCAGGTTGGAGCATCCTCCCTAAGCAGCCTGGGAGTTTTATACAGTCCAGAGCCCTTAACCTACTACAGCTGAGCTCATTACATCAGTGAGCCAAACAGGCTCACTACCACTGGCGGACTGACAACTCATGGGGCCCCCAGGCAATAGGGGATCATGGGACCCCTGTGTCTTTGCCCAAACTCAAAAAAGCCTATGAAAAAGGTACCAGGGGCATCCCCCTACTGACCCCGGGCCCTCAGGCAGTGCCCGAGTTTTCAAATGGTCAGTCCGCCCCTGCTCACTACACAGCACAAGAGAAACAGTCAGTGTAAAGCAAGAACCTGGGACAAATATACCTCCCATCCTGGAACTCGCCTTGCACGTGACTGTGCAGCCACACTGTGGGCACGTTCTGTCACCCACTGTGTCCACCGAACACAGCCAATGACAGATCACATTACTGCTGGTGCATTCTGATTGCTGTGACCAATCACAGCAGATCACATGACTATTTTAAACAATGAATGGCTTTTATTCATGCCATTCATTTTATGCAATTGTGTTGCTAGCTGTGATTGGTCACAATGATCACATAGTACAGACAGAACCAATGACAGCCCATCTGTACCATGTGGTTAGCTGTGGCCAATCACAGCTAATCACATCAATACGCACTGAGTGAATCAATTTCATTCAGTAAAAATTGTTGATTATACCAGTGAAATTCACTGGTGTAAGCAAACATAATGTGTAACAGCGAACTGAACAAACAGAGATCACTGTACTATCTGAACAATGATAGCACAAGAATTTCTCAACAATTGTGTTCTGAGAGTAGGACTCATCCCCCCCCCCCCCACCTGAACACATTAATCAGCACTTGCACCCATTGGCTGCGAGCACTGATCAGATGCAGGTTTTCCAGTATGTCCTTTCAACAAAAGCCAGTTCAGTCAGAAGAACAGCTGTACACATGGTCCGAATGTTGATCATGTGCACCCAGCTTTAGAATGTAAGCTCCTTAAGGGCGGGGACTGATGTCAATGTACTGAAAAGAGCTTCATAAATTGGCACTGCTACATAAATATCTGTAATGGATAGGTCAGATCCATGTATTAGTGTTATGATAACACACACATTGCTGTAATGCATGGTAAAACACAACCCACAGTGCATTGCTCTGCCATTTATTTTAAAGCTGCCAGTATTTGTCTTTTGAGATCTGCCTGGAGTTTGGTGCTTAGTGCAATTCTTCAGTGATGTTCCCACTTCATTTGACCTGGTTTAGAGCTGAGATTGTTGCTTATTCTTCCCGCAGAATGTGGTTGTTTGTCCCTTGTCTCCCAGAGTTTTTGTGTTGTGTCAAGGAGATTAGGTCTGTTCCATCTTGAGAACCCACCAGTTCAAAGTACAGCAGTGAATCACAGGACTCTCAGATTGTTCCTGGACCCTTGTTGCTGTGTAATGTTGACTTTCGCATTCACTTCACATCAGGTAGAAAATGGCTGTTCATGAATTGCCCTGTTGACCTAAATGTGGGCGAGCTGCTTAGATTCATCTGGCCGGAGTTCCTGCTGAGGATGCTGAGAAGTAAAACAATCCTCTTCTTTCTTCTTTCCCCCCAGTCTCTAAATCATTTCCTTTCCCACACCGTATCTTCAAACATCATGAACAGCCATTTTAACCCAGCTTCCAGCTACATTCTTTTCTTTAATGCCTTTCAATGTCAGTAAATTGCTTCTAATTATTTAATCTTGGCAATAACTATTGACAATGTGGTTGGCGTAAATTAGTTAAATTCTGCTGGTTATGCTGAAAATCGGGGCATGCTCAAGCATGTACTCTACTTCCATTTTTTTTATACTAATAAGCTATAGCAAAGAAAAAAAAAAAATAGGCTCAGAAAAAAGTTCTAACATAACTGAATGCTTCACTGGAACAGGAAGTACAGAGGAAATTTCACTAAGGGGCCCTAGCAATAAAAACACTTTTTTTTTCAGACAAATTGGGAAGGGTTAGAATCATCTATCAGTATCATTTCTGCACATGTTTCTATTAGGGTTATTTCTCCTTTTTTACGTTTCAGTAAAAGTTGTTACTGGGTAATCTGCCCAATGGATTCACAGTTAAAGTGATACTAAACCCAGGACTCTGCATTCACTATATCTGATCTCCCACAGTACACAGAATATGGAAGTGCACTTATTTTAGTAATTATAAACTGCTAAATACCTTTTCTCATCAGCAGTTAGAGCAGTCTTGTGACTTCAGCAAAGCACTGATTAAAGCTTGTAGGAGGAGTTTTCTTTCTGCTCTAGGAGGATGTGAATCCTCTGACCCTCTGTCTGGACAGTGCTGATTGGCCCTTTGCTGATCACATGCACTTTCTCAAGAAAAAAAAAAACCTCTCTAGCAATACACACCAAACTGAGCATGTGCATGTGACTATGGATTCAGTCTGTATCAGGTGGTCATTTCAACATGAGGAGGGGCAGAGAAGAAAGGATCAAACAGCCTTTTTACACAATGCAGAGGATTAACCCCTTAGGTTCCACAGTGAGTATATCAAGCATGCGTTACTGCATATACAGACTGATTTTACTGTTGTGGGTTTAGTAACACTTTAATAATAAAAATCTCTGACTGAGGTTTCCATTCCTACACTCTTATCCAAAACAAAAGAAACCAAAAGTTCTTAAAATAGGTGGGCTTTAAAGATTTCTCCTGGTTATTTTTAAAGTGTATTTCCATTTTTGCCGTCAAATAAAAGAAAAATAACAACAACAGCAACTATGTTTGATATTTTTTACCTTTTATTTGTTACAGGTACTTATATAGCACTGTCAATTTACACAGCGATTTACATATATATTGTAATATCATTGACATCAGTGCCTGCCCTCAAGGAGCTTACGAGCTAAGGTCCCTATCTCACATTAGACAACATGCATGTCTTTGGAGTGTGGAAGGAAACTGGAGTTCTCGGAGGAAACCCACGCAGACACAGGGAGAACACAAAAACTCCAGACAGGGAGGTGGTTGGACTTTGAACTGCTGACCCTAGTGCTGTCATGCGGAAGTGCTAACCGCTATTATGTGAGATTCAGTTTGTTCAGATATATCCGAATTTCTAAATGGACATAGTAATGAATCTGAATGAATCCACAAAAAGATATAACAAAATTTTTGGATTTATTTGGGTTCATTCAGATTGAATGAGAAGAGCCAGTGTCAGGGATCCTACCGCGGTAGCCTCTAGCGCTCCACAGACCGGATTCCCCCAAGGCGTGGAATCTAAGTCCCTACCTGCTTGTTCACCAGGGCCCCTGATGGTGGGGATGGACTTGGAGCAGGCCGAGACCAGGTTGCGGCCCCTGGGTTCATCCAGCTGTGGTAGAAGCACCGTTGGAGGTGTATAGCAGGTGTGAGTCTGATGTGAGGAGGTCACAAGAGCAGCGTCGGGCAGGCCGGGTGTAACAGTGGTGGCGGCGTGGTACAAAACCAGCAGGCAGAGGAATAAACAGGTCACAAGCCGGGTTCATTAACAGGAGATCAGAACGTGCAGGGTGAAGCAGGAGAATGGTCAGACAAGCCAGGGATCAGAACAGGAGACAGACAGCAAATCAGGATCAGGCAGGGTCGGCAACAAGACAATCTACAAATCAGGAACTTCAGGAAACAGGTAAGACCATACGGCACTTGAGCATTGCAAGAGCCGGGTTTAAATAGCCAGCCCGACTCCTGACAGGCGCTCCTGGGTCCTAGTGCTTGCCCGGCGCCGTCATTGGTGACAGGTGCGCCTGGGTCCTAGTGCCTGCCTGCCTGTACGTTTTGTCAGGATTCTACGCATGTGCAGATTCGATCGCCGCAGCGATCTTCCCATTCCCTGACAGCCAGTTATTAAAGCCTGCCATGTCTTTAACAACCATGACTCATCTGCTGTCAGTGGGATGTCAGCAGAATGTAAACAAAAAAATGTAAATTAAAAAAACAACAACATGGGGTCCCTTCCCAATCCATACCTGGACCTTCTGGTCTGGTATGGATTTTGAGGGGAACTCCTAGCCAAAAAAAAAAAAAAAAAAGGTGTGGGGTCCCCCCCGAAATCCAAACCAGACCCTCATTCGAGCAGGATGAATGAGAGCCCCCCCCCCCCTCTCTTGAACTCTTGGAACCCGGTGCTCTAATATACAGCTAACATAACTAACTATAACTAACATATAGTCCTAAGGAGGTTGTTGCATGCATGGGCACAAATGCAGAAAAAAGCCTGACACCCCTAAAGAGGGTCTCATGTCAGGGAATTGTGAAATTACTAAAAATAAACACCACACCTGATTGCCTATACAGCCAGGAACTTTCTGCTACAGCCATCCACTAGTACATTCTAGAGACATAACAACCAATTATCATCTCATGCCTGAAGCTTTCCATAGATGGATTGAAATTCATCTGGTTATAATGATTGGCTTCTGGCGAACGTAATACTGTCAAATTTTAATTGGATTAGTGGCTGCAGTCAATCGGCTGCCACAATGTTCTGACAGTGGCGTAGTCCTCGCTGTCAGAATACAATAGCGCAGTGGGAAGGATTCCTCCATCTACCTCTCTTATGTGGATGGGAGAAGCATTTTTTTGATCAGCCTGCTAGCTTTTGGACAGGTTTCGCTATAGGCAAAGGGTAGGAATACCAATGTACAGTTGCACTCCTAGAGGCTAACAGAGTGGTTTCCTGCAAAAGCGTGAGGTAGCGTTAAAGCGGCACTATGCTTGAATCTTCACATACGTCTTCTGTAAGTAACTAGCGACCTTTCCCTTCTCCACCTGATGCCTGACTCATCCGGCTTGCAATCCACTACACTGTTTGCACACACTAACTTTGTTCTCCCTTAATACTGTGCTTATTCTTCTTAAGGCATCTCTCTTCCTTGACTTCTAGGCCAGGTCCCTAGGACACCCCATACTATAGTCAGACCCAAGTTAGGGGTACTAACCTCTAGGGAAGGTCCCTTCACTACAGTGGACCTCTATCACCTCCACCAAGTCACTATCTCTAGATCAGCTGGATGCTATATGTGGATTTTGGATCTTTGTCTCACAACAGTTCTGTAGCTCTGACACCAATGCAAGGGTTATCTCCACTCCCCAGAGGATACTTTTAATACAATGTGTATACACCACTATACCTGTATATCCTTCAATAAACTTCAGACCAGGAAAAGCTCTTCAACAACTGACTCTTCTTTACTAATATAATTCTTTGCAACTATCACTTAACATGTCTTCACAATCCTGACAGTCATTAATGTTGCCCTGGTGCCCTCTGGTGCCCCTGCCACATGATCAGATAACAGTCTACATTCCCATCGCAGACATTCCTGGAATGGTCTCTCAAATATACCGAGTGCTGTATCACATGCATGAAGAAGGGGTGGTGCACAGATCTGAAGCATAGCACTTCTCTGTTTGTGACATGATCTTTCTTCAATAAAAACCATTCAGACTTATTCTAAACATCCGTGGTGTGCCGGTGAATAATTAAACTGTGCCCATGATCAGGCCCATACCTTTTGGTGAGTTAGAATAGGTCTATCTAGAGCACAAAGTCCAATTTCTGGAGCACCAATAATGTTCCTTCAAAAGGGATTGCAAATGTCTGATCAAACAATCACACAGATCCTGATTGTTCACCCATACACAGACTGAACCCCCACACTTGCCTCCCCTGGTATTTATAAGCCACCAGAAGGGTCAATAATATGAACATCAGAGAATTAGGCTAGCAGCACAGTTAGCTTTTTTCTTACCCAGGAGACACAATAACCCAACATAGTCCAATCATACAGTGCAAAGCAGTTGAAAACGCAAAGGGCACAGAATATTACATTATTAAAGTGAGGTAGTTGCAAAAATAGGCACCTGCCTACAATCTGATTGAACTGATCCATCTATGGCTAGCCTTAGGATACATTATGAAATAACATTCAGATCATCTTTCAATCTAACCATAAACAGGATAATGGGAACCAGAATGTAAAGACTTAGGACCCAAGGCAATAAGCAATATGTGTGTTTACAGACAACTAAACTTTTCTATTATTATTATAATACAGAATTTATATAGCACCAACAGTTTGTGTAACACTTTACAATATAAAGGTAGACAATTCAATAAAATACAAGAGGGTTAAGAGGGCCCTGCTCATAAGAGCTTACAATCTAATAGGGTGAGGCAAGTGGTACAAAAGGTTATAAATGCGGGGGATGAGCCGATGGAGTGACAACGTTCAGTTACTTGGAGATGTGATAGGCTTCCCTGAAGAGATTAGTTTTTATAGTTTGCCTAAAGCCAGCCAGAGTAGACTGAGGTAGAGAGTTCCACAGGATGGAAGAAGCTCTGGAGAAGTCCTGGAGATAAGCATGGAAAGAAGAGACAAACGAGCTTGAGAGCAGGAGGTCTTGGGAGGAGCAGTTTGGGTGATATTTGGAGACAAGAATGGTGATGTAGCTGTGGGCAGAATTGTGAATGGCTTTATATGTTGTTGTTAGTATTTTGAATTTAATTCTCTGGACTATCAGATGCCAGTGGAGGGATTGGCAGAAAGGGGTGGCAGACACTGAGCAGTTGGTAAGGTAGATGAGTCTGGCAGCAGCATTCATGATAGACTGAAGAGGGGATAACCCAAGGAGAGTTAGGCCTATGAGATGGGAGTTGCAATACTCAAGGCGAGAGATAACAAGGGAGTGAATCCATAGCTTTATGAAATCAACTAAGGGCCTGTATGGACAGGCTTTGGGCTTGTGCTAATGGCGTTAATATGACATAATTTTGAGATGTTTCTGAGGTCATTCAGAATTCACTGACAGGTGCATTTGATGACTTGCAGTTGGCCACCTTCTAACCTACATTTGAGCTGCTTGAGGTGGATTTGGCTTTCCCATAGACTTGTATGGCAATGGAAACCCCAGCCAAAAAGGTACGCTCCATTCAAAATTGGAAACGAGTGCTAGCTTTGTATACACACTCAGTACTTCAGTTTCTTGTCTAGTCCACCAGTCTACCCCAGTATCTTTTCTCAGACACTGGTAATCTGAGAACTCTTGCTTATAATACAGGAGAGCAATGCTCAAACACACACACTGCAGGATCCTAACTAAGTATCATATACAAAAACCCTGAAAAAAGAATCACAAAGAACAATCAGTGTCAAACCTGCTTTGAATGTGAACAGTGTTAAGGGAAGAGGGTAATAGAGAACTCAGGCTATGGTAAATTTGGTAAATGTTATGACTAGAGATGAGCGAATCGAACTTGGCGAAGTGGAATTCGTTTCGAATATTAGGAAAAATTCGATTCGCGCCGAATCCGAAAATTAGCAAACTTTTCATCCCTTCTACAGCCGGCAAAAAGTGTCCCTGCAGAGAGCTCCGCTAT